GTTTAAGGAATAGTATAGGGATGCTGCGTATAATAATAGCCTAATATATATAAAAGCTAGGAAGTAAGGGCAAAAGGAGACTAGAATAATAACTTAGACCTTTATTATAATTAAGAAGTAGAAAGGTATTAGAGATATCTTTTATTTATCCTAATAATACTCTAAGTAAGTACCCTATTACTAAAGTTTTATAATATAGCTAATAATTAGGTAGTAGTGTCTATACTATTACTATCTATAACTAACCCCTCCCTAGCCCCCCCTAAACTATTGTTTATGTTATCCTAACGCCTCTGCATCTCTTAGTAATAGTAGTAACGCTTACGCGTGGCGTAGGTAGGGGACAACTTAGTTAACAAGTATAAATAATAGTAGTAGTAGTAGCAGGAGAAGGGTAGTGCTTTAATAGCTTACTAATATATAGCACCCTAGGCCTAAAGAAAATAAATGTTAAAATAGATATAAAGGAAATAAGGGAAATTTAATACTAATAATAAGAGTCTTAATACCTTAGGTAGTGCGCTTAGTAGCGCTCTTAAGCCTATTAATATAAAGGTTAGTTTAGGCCTAGGTCTTATTTATATGCTAGTTAATATACTAGAAGGTAATACTAGTAGTAGTAGCAAGCTATATAACGTTGTTATTGCTATAACTACTATATAAGGGCGTAATAGTAGACTAAAGTAGAAATGCTAGAGTACTAGTAGTAGATAGAATAATAGCACTAAGCTAATACTAATTATAAGCGCGTAAGTATATAGTAGGGGCAAGTAGAGTAATAGTATTATTAGTTTAAGCCCTTAATATAAGATCCTTAAAATAATAGTAGAGCTAGTAGAACTATAGTATAAACTAGTAATAGGTACCTTTAGTAGGTTTCCCTATAAAAGTGCTAAGGGTCCCCTTCTTTATAATATAAAGGCGATTCTCCTAGTAACTATAATAAAACTAAAGCTAGTTGTAGAGGGCTTAGTAAATATTAGGGTTATTAGTAAGGATAGCTTCTAACTAAGTGTAAGTCTTGTAGCTATAATAATAGGACTTGTATAAGCGCCCTAGATATAGTTAGAACTTGCTATAAAGAAAATAAAAATTAAGGGGAACTTACTACTACCCTCCTAATAGTTATACTTACTAAAAAGACAAAGCTAGTTAATATACTAATTATAGGGAAGTAGCTTTATAAAGCTACTATTATACTCCTTATTATCTAAGTTACTAGAAATAATAAAGCTGCTAAGTAGCTATATTTAGGGAGACGTGTGCTAAGCAAAAGTTAGTGTAGGAAATATAGGGAGAATATTAGAAGTACGCACCTTATCTTAGTAGGCCTAGCGTAGGGTCTAACTACCTTATAGTAGATCCCTACTACTAGCACTAGTAGTAGTAGATAGAGATATAATAGAGGCTATATAGGCTAGATTAATAGAAAAAGAGTAGAGATAAGACTAATTAGTTAGGAAAGTCTACTATATAACTAAGTAAGTTTAGGAAATTTATAGTAGGGTACTAAAATAAGCGTATAGATGCTATGCGCGCGTACTACTTAATATATAGGCCTGTTATAAATTAGGAAGGAATATAAAGATATAATAATAAAACTAAAAAATATAGTAATAAAGCCTAATATAGATTATAGAGGACAAAGATATAACCCTAGACCCCTAGAAAGATAATTTTATAATAGTTTGTAGGGGAAGGTTAGGGGTATATAAAGGACTTAGGCTTATGCCTAAGCCTAGGTCTAACACAAGATAGACTAAGTCTAATACCACTACTAAGCAAACACACTAGACACCTATAAAAAGGCGTAGAGGGCTTATCTCTCCTTTAAGATACTAAATACTATTATTAACGCTTATTGCATTCTCCCTTAAGGCTAGTCTATAACAACTATTTATTATAGATATTAATTATAGTATTATAGAGTAACTACTCTATCTTTCTCTAATTACTTATACTTAATATTAAGGTTGTACTATTACTTAAAGAAGGCTAGTTACTATTATTTATAGGTACTTTAAACCTTAAAAGGATAATATTAGGGTTAAGTAGTAAGATACCTATTACTTTAAAAGCTATTAATATTAGCTTTTCCTTAAAGGTATTACTCTATATAGTATTAAATAACTAGTAGAAATCCCTCTTAGTAATACTTATAAGCCCTTAGGAGCTATCTAGAAAACTAGATAGTTAAGCTTTATATAAAGCTATAAAGGGAGCAAATACTATAATATTAAGTAGCTAAAGGGTATAAGTGCTATAAGGGGGATATATTATAAGTAGGATCTTATATTTATTATAGTACTTAATAAACTCTATTATTACGTAAGATCTATAGCTATTAAGGATAAGGAGCTAGTATAAAGTATAAGCTTTAGCTTTTGTCTTGCAATTAAACACCTCCTTAAGCTAGGATACCTCTAGGGTATAGCTTATCTACCTACTTAGTAATCCTATAAAGAAAGCTTAGTATTATAATAGGTTAAAATCTTGTAACTAGGTATCCTATAGAGCTCTAGATTAGGACTAATAAATAAGAGTAGGGGTAAGAGTAGTACTATTAGCGTATATGCAAGCTATAGTAGTAATCTACTCTCTATTACTATCCTAGAGTATAGCTCTAATCTTTCTCTGCTTATAGGCGCTCTTATTAAATATATATTTAGTTTTTAATAGTACTCTAATAAGAAAACCCTTCTTATCTATATTATAGATATACTAACTCTTAATATTATATTACTCTATTTTTTAGTATAAAAGCTTAAAGTATAAGCTATACTTAAAGGTAGAATTAGCTTTAAAGTAGTTATAATTAAGCCTAGTAGCCTAATAGGAGATAAGATTAATATTATAGCAGTTAATAAAGCGCTATACCTAATTTTTACCTACTAGATTCCCTATTATTTTAGTTATAAAATTTTAAATAATAGTCTATATAGGGGGTAATCCTTACCTATAAAGCTCTTTAATATACTTTATAAGCTTGCTTTCTTATATAGTATTAAGTATTTAACTATTTAGTAGAGTAGTAGTATATACCTACTAAATTTTCTAGTAGCGTCTAGATAAGGTTAACTACAAGTAACTATACTTTTCTACTATTTCTAAGTATATAAAATCTTCTCTAAGAGTTAAGGATTTAATTGCTATAAGCGCGTTATTAATAGGTGCTATAGTTATTAAGAAATTTAGTGTTAAAAATTTAGTGATTTTAGTGTTAGTGGGCGCTTGGTAGGGGTGGGCGCTTGGTGGTGGATCACGTTAGTACCTATATAGACAAGTCCCGTAGCTGCCGGTATCACCAAAGTAAGCTCAGCAACGGCAAACAAGAACGACAAGCACGTGCGGGTTGAGAGAGGGAGCAGAAGCCAACATCGTCGTCAGATGCAGGGGGGACAGTAGGTGCGTAGGTAGTGAGCGTAGGTTGATAGGTAGTGTAGGTGGTGTAGGTGGATAGTAGTAGGTGGTAGTGTAGGTGGTAGTGTAGGTGGTAGTGTAGGTGGTAGTGTAGGTGGTAGTGTAGGTGGTAGTGTAGGTGGTAGTGTAGGTGGTAGTGTAGGTAGGCAGGTGTATAGATGGTAGTGTAGGTAGGTAGGTGTGTAGATGATAGTGTAGGCAGGTTGGTAGGCAGGTGTGTGAGTGCAACGTTTCGATTGAACTTGGCTACCTAGGGACGGTGCGGTGGCTGCAGGGCTATGCCTACCGACTGCGAACCATGTTCCAAGTACTATGTATGTACCGGTACCTAGGTAAGGTAGGGCACCTATTGTGCTTTGGGAGTCTCATGTCGGTACATAGGTGTTGGGTGTGGCCTGGTGGAGTGACATGTCCAACATCACGTGCAAGAGTGACACGGAAGACGCGGGTGGGTAGCCAGCTTGGTCTCCCTCCCTTTACCTTATTTGCCTATTGCCTAGGTACCTAGTCTGTCTGTTGTAGGTACCTAGCTTAGGTTATGTACCTACATAGTACACAGCCTCTCTGGTGGCCAGGCTTGCTTAACACGCCCAATAGGTGGCTAGCAGTACAGACCTAGGTCACGTGGCTACATGTTCTTACTACCTATCGGCCATGCACTAGTGCTGCCTTTGTTACCTAGGTAGACAGGGTATACGCTTGCAAGCAGATGTACCTAGCTATCGAGTCTTGAGTCTTGCCCTGTCTGCCTATGTCATTACCTACCTACCTTCTCTCGTTGTCCTTCACGCTTTCTCTGTCTGTCTGTCTGTCTGTCTGTCTGTTGTCCCCTAATCTCGAATCAACACTATACCGAACCTCTCACTCCTTATCAACAATACGTCGACTAGGCATCATCGTATCCCGTGTCTGGTGACAAGAGTGACTGTTATGGTACATGGTTAGTACCATACGGTACCTGGGTAGGATGTCGACCCGCCATCGAAGCACACAATCTCCAACTCCCAGACGGGTGCTGGCTATTCCCCTCGTTACATCCAGGAAGCCGTGTACATCAGTGGTCTCAATCAGTAGTGTCAATCAGTATGGGCCCCTCCAACATTCGCTGTGCAGCAGAGACAGAGGGGTCAAAAGGGTTCAGGCGTGGTGGCTACCGCATCGAGTCCAGCACCTGCTCAACACCACAACGGGTGGCAGGCACTTCCAGACCACACAATCCTCTGCCTTCCCCATCTACCAGACATCCGATCACGTCATCACATGCCTCCTCACCTGCATCCCTCAATCCATCTCCAGGCCCTCCTCTCGTGTCTTCCTCCCCCCATCCTCCATCTTCCCTCGTCACACTACGCCTAGCACTTTACTATCCTCAGTCCCCTACAATCTCCCTACATTCTCACGCACACGTCAATTCGTTCCTATTTGCCTAGACTGGCTTTCCTCCTGTACCAGATATCCTGATCCTACTAGCACTCTCCTCTTTGGCGTCCACCTTGTCTCGTCAAACACTTGTCTTACCTGCAACCGTCTATAGCCACCTCGACACTTTCCACGGTTAGAACAGCTGAAGAGCCGCAGTTATGAACGTCACACGGCCTTCCTGCCACCAAACAGAGAGCTTCAAGGCGGCACCAGGCATGAACCCAGTCTATACCGAGGATCCAAAACGTCATGGCGAGACGCGCCTACCTGGCTTCGCATGGCTACCCAATAGGGCCCGTCATCTCTTGATCGCATGTCTGGGTGAATTTGTCGGCACTTTTCTGTTCCTCTTCTTTGCCTTCACAGCGACACAAGTTGCCAACAATCTCCTGGGTGGGGGGCCCATGGACATCGAGTCGCTCATGTACATCTCCCTGGCTTTTGGCTTCTCACTCGCAGTCAATGTTTGGATTTTCTTTCGCGTCAGTGGAGGCTTATTCAACCCGGCTGTAGGTGATACGTCGCTATGACAATAGTCTCCAAGACTGACAAGGAACAGGTCACGGTTGCCATGACCCTCATCGGAGCAGTCCCGTGGATGAAAGCTCTACTGCTTATCGTCGCCCAACTGCTAGCAGGCATCGCCGCCGCTGGCATGGTCTCAACCCTCTTCCCTGGCCCACTGTCAGTGCGAACCACACTGAGCGCCGAGACGTCGATTGTTCGAGGTCTCTTCATTGAAATGTTCTTGACCGCTCAACTCGTCTTCTGTATCTTCATGTTGGCTGCGGAGAAGCATCGATCGACCTTCATGGCTCCTATTGGCATTGGACTCGCACTCTTCATTGCTGAGATGGCTGGCGAGTACATGTTAAGCATGGAAAAAGTATATTGATGTACTGACGCTACCAGGTGTCTACTTCACGGGAGGTTCTCTGAACCCTGCGCGGACCTTCGGCCCTGCCGTTGTTTTGTGCAACTTCGATAGCTATCACTGGATCTACTGGATTGGACCTCTTCTTGGCGCAATCCTGGCCGTTGCTTTCTACCGTCTGATCAAGGTGCTTGAGTACGAGACTGCCAACCCTGACGCCGAAAGTGATGGTCAAGAGGCATACAGAGGCGCATCAGCAGCCCCGGCTACTTATCGTGAATCACGTGTTTCCAGTAAGTGGCTTAAACGGATCCTCTGAATGAAGCTCACAGTATCAGCACATCAACCTACTGACGGTACTGACGAACACGAATTCGGAACACAGCTGCATGAAGGGAGATACCGGCCAGCCAAAACACCACGCCATGCAGTTTCCTTCCACATCAACCACTCCTCGCTCCCTACCGTCCCAATGCAGAAGCAAGAACAGCCTTTGCCAGCCTTTGTAATGGACATGGACGGATGCCGGTCCGAGAGTCATTTTAAAGCCGTCAATCACCTGGACGACCGACCTCGTGCACACCATGCGCAAAACTCTTCGACTGACGAGCCTCCGTCAGATCACAGCTATCGCAGCGGCCCGATCGCAGAGTCTGGCAGCTCGTAGACTGGTTCGTCTTCTGGCTCATCGTCTGGCCGCGCCTCGAGTGCCTGACATGAGAAGCCGTCAGTACAGCGTGGTTGCACCGACGGTTTATTTTATTGGCCCTGCTGCTTCCTACCCGGCTTTGTACTCCAGGCTTGCTTTTGTCCGAATTAGTTGGATTCATCGACTGGGTTGAAGAGAATGAGTGTTGCTATAGTACCATGCTTAGCAAGACAACCCCATTGTCCCATCAGCAGGTGTTCTGATAACCTATAGTCATATATCAATAATCATTTTTCAAGGTGCAAGACGTATCCCTTTCCAATTTCCGGCCCTGTCTAATCGACTTCGCCAGCATGTCTTGAGTGATTCTAGTGAGAGAGCTTGCTACCAACTCAATGCCCTTTGGACAGTAGCCTGTCCTACATGTCACCTTGGAATCGGCTCTTCGATCAACCACTCGACTCTCTGAATTCTCAATGTATTTACCATTCCCAGGAATGTGGCGCTCGGTTCTAATCCTCAAAGCACATTGAGATTATGCTTTGGGTCGCGGGAAGTAATGACGCGACGCGTCATCATATTAGATACGCACATGTGGAGCAAAGCCGAAACTTTAGATGATAAAAATAGTTGGTATCTTGGTAGAATGTTATACAATCATAGTCATAATGGCGGGAGATCAAGTCAGCTCCTAGAAGCCGTTCATGCGGCCAGTGGCTTGCCTATGCCACCAACACCCATCTCCATAATTCCCAGTGTTCAATTAGCCAAAAGAAAGAAGACTAGGATGGCTCCAATCACCGGACCAAGTATATGCACAGGACAGCTAGATGCAAACGCCAATGTCGGAAGGAGAGATCCCCCCCCACCTTATGGTACCCTCAGATGCTGCCCAAAGAAATTGCCGCAAGTCGCTATAATATCGGCCCAATTGTACGCCTCCGACTCCGGTCCCATGCTGATAGAAAGAAGAAGTGGGAAGCGTTGTGATGATGGTAGGAGATAAGAGTCTGTCTGGGTAGACAGGAGTAAACCTGACCAGTTGTGAAGGTAGTATCAATATCAAGTTGCACATTCCAATGCGCAAATGCTAATGTTGAAAGGCTTCTCCGATTTCATGCATTGGGCCAACCCAGGCCCCCAATTTTGGAATAAAAGCCAGTGACAGGGTGCAAAACAGAATTTGCAAGCTGTCATCGTATAACACCCCAGCTGTCCATGCTGCTGAGTCCGCTTGTCCGTTCTTTCTTCTTGAAGGCGTTCCAGAATCGCAACGTCTCGTCACCAGCACCGGTCACGATGACTTGGCCGTCTGGACTCATGGCCAAGTAGAGGACACGGTACGTGTGGCCCGTCAGGGAGACGACCTGCTGCATGCTTGGGTATTTCCACACAATAATCTGATTCTGGCTGTAACCGTGAGTAGAGACAATCTCATTGCTGTTCTTCGACCATGCCAAGTTGCACACTTGACTGCCGGTATCGAGGCTGCGGATCAGATTGGCCGGTGCCGTGGGCGATATTGGTATGTTGGCAGAAGTTGATGCTGATGCAGCGACTGATGCGGCTGCAAGGGAAGATGGCGGTGGCCCGTTCGATGATATGAGTGTGTTCCAGAATTTGATGGTTCGATCTGCTGTACCGCCTCCACTGGCCAGGAGGCCGCGCTGGTGCGGACTCCAAGCAATTGCTTTGACGGCTGCTTGGTGTTCGCTCCATTTGAAAGTCGGCTCATCGTTCAGCTTCTCCCAGACCATAAGCTTGTTGTCATTACCTCCCGAAGCGAGCTGCTGGTCTTCGTGGTTCCACTTCAATCCACAAATTTCCTGCTTGTGTCCGACGAGAATAAGCAGCCATTGCGTACATTTAGCACAGTT